GGAACATGTCTATTGTGACAGCCACCGCTCTTTAGCATAATGTGAATTAAGATGATCGCCTCGTTATGGAGATGTTTAAACCAATTTCTCAGCTCCCCTTTGGCTCACCCAGAACATTCAGCGTTAGCCGGCGAGCCTGGGTTACCACAACTAATCAGTGTCTTTAATTCTTCTTGATGTGTCTGTGAAGTCATTAGGAAGCTGACTCACCTTTTCACACAAAAAGCTTAACAAAACAAAATGACACGGATGGCTGAAAGTGCTCCTAAAGTCACTCTAATCGTCGCCTTAAGGCAGACTAGGAGGACAGCATGATTCCTTTGGAATTTATTAAAACCATATTTGTGCAAACAAAATTAAATAATTGCTCAGTTATTTGATGGGTTAAGCATCTTGACAACAGTGTTTACTTTGTCTACAGTAACCCTAAAAAAAACAATCGAAGGGCTCAGATTATCACTGATGGTTGATACATTTGTCAAAAAGCACCACCTGTTGGAAGTTCAGATTTTGCTCTTGGATCTACATTATATATAATTTATATCCATCTATTTTCTTTTGCTTATCCGGAGTCGGGTCACGGGGCGGAGGCCCAGACCTCCCCTTCCCCAGCCACTTGGGCCAGCTCTTTCAGGGGAATCCCAAGATGTTCCCTGGCCAGGTGAGAGACACAACTCTCGCATCACTGCAGATGCAGCACCAATCCGCCTATCGATCTCACGCTCCAGCTTTCCCTCACTCGTAACAAGACCCTGAGATACTTAAACTCCTCCACTTGGGGCAGAACGTCATCCCTGACCTGGAAAAGGCATTCTGCCCTTTTCCGAATCCGAAGAGTAGACGTCGCACCAACCGCTACCGTCTATGGTGACCACATTTGCGGGGTCTACTTTTATAAACTCTATGGTCAACAGGATGTTTTAGCTAGGCTTTAGCTTTGTGAAGATCTGGAGCTCAAACATCAAAATAATGAATGCACTCACTTTAACGTTCATCAGGCAAAATATGAACGAGTTCAGTTAATGTTCACAAAAAAAAAACGAGTTCACGAAAGATCGTTCAATGAACTCGTTCGGGCACAACACTACTCATCAGTTCCGTTGGATGTCAACTAATTCTCCAAAATAAGGCTGTTCAGGACACAATATGTAGGCTATTATCTATAACCTTTATATAAAACACAAGTGAAGTCTTGTCATTGGTTTGTTTATTATGTCATTTTGTCCGGTTCGATTCAAAATATCTTCCATAATATATAAGAAAATATCTCAACAAACTGGATTTCACCCATTACAATAATTGGTGACAGGTTAAGATTTGAGAATAATCACTGAAAACTGTTCACCAATAAATATGAAAACGTATCACGGTTATCGTTATATGAAAAGTGACAAATAAAGAAGTTATTCATTCAAATGCTTTTAAAAGTCATTAGAAAAAAAGAATTTACTCCAAATGCACTGAGATGGTCTTCCACCATGTTTCCAGCAACTGTGAGGGTTAAAAACTGAGCCTGGTGTTGAGGAGCAGACTGCAACTCTCCTCGATCTAATCCACTTCCTCCCCAGGAAATGGAGAAGGCGGATTTCTGCCCACACTGCAATTTCCTCCCTCATTCTTTTTTCTGTCTTTTCACCCCTCTCCTCCCCCTCCCCCTTCTCTTCTTGTTCTTCAGCTTTCCCTCAACCACCAAGCCGTCTTGTCAGGACAAATCTCCTGTTTTGAGTATGGGGGCTTCTTGGGCATCTCGTGTTTCTTGTTTAGACAAAGATCTGCAGAAAGGAAAGTCAGAGGAGCTTCTGGACAGACTGAGCTGTGACAGAGATGATTTGCCTTCATCTGGGAAAGGAGAAAGGATCTCCTCAAACAATGGCAATAACAAAAACAAGGAGGGCCATTTCCCTGAACTGCACATGTGTACGAGACAATCTGTCATCTGATTAAAACCAAAGCAGGACTTCCACATGGCTGCGGATGTGGACTGACCCATCGGTTTGCTCTGCAGGAAACTCAACGTGGACTTGTTGAGCATTCTTCCTTTTTCTACAACAATGCGAAAGAGGAAGTGTTCTGAGGGAGTTTCCTGTTCATCTTATCCCGCTTCAACCAGTGCAGCTGCCGAGACCAACGTTCCCCCAAAAGCCCTGAACTTCACACTTAGGAGGAAGGAAAAAAAATCAACTGGTTATACATTGACAGGTGCTTGGAGTTATTCTTTGAACTTTTAGACTTTCTCTTGGCAAAGCTCCAGCCTCGCCTCCTCTTTGATTGGGTTAGAGACAAATGAGCAGACGCAACTTAACATCAGTCGTGCAGAGATGTGATGGAAACACTTTCACAGATTTCAACTATATGCAGTCACTTCTCTCTTTTCTGTAGACTGAAGAAAAAAAGTTGCATCCAGGAAGGAAAGCTTCCCTTGCTTTTTATTGGTCTGAAAGAGGACTTCGTGTAACCAAAGAGCCAGATGACTCCAACTTGCAAGCTTCAGTAAAAACAAGGCATCTCTTCCTTCAAACCGTTCACAGCAGTTTGAAATTACCCAAGTTCAAAGTGCAAAGAACATCTAAAAGGTTTTTTACACTCATGATTTCTCTCTTTGACCACATTTTAAAATTACTTATAACAAAAATATAGAATTTAAATGCGTTGCTGGTCAAAATGCTGCTCACAATGTGGCTCGTGTGGTCACGGAGGCAAAAACCCGGGTGTGGGAGGAGTTTGGTGAGACCATGGAGCAAGACTTCCGTAAGGCTTAAAGGAGATTCTGGTCTACCATTCGGCGTCTCAGGAGGGGAAAGCAGTGTTCTACCAACACTGTTAACAGTGGTGACGATGTGCAGCTGACATGTACTTGGAACATTGTGGATCGGTGCATGGAATACTTCAAAGACCTCCTCAATCCCAGCGGCATGACTTCCAGTGAGGAAGCAGAGTCTGGGGACTTTGAGTTGGACTCTCCAATCTCTGGTGCTGAGGTCACTGAGGTGGTCAAAAAAAACTCCTCAGTGGCAAGGCCCCGGGGGTAGATGAGATCCACCCGGAGTTCCTTAAGGCTCTGGATGTTGTAGGGCTGTGTTGGTTGCCGCGGCGTTGCAGTATCGCATGGACATCGGGGGCAGTTCCACTGGATTGGCAGACTGGGGTGGTGGTTCCCTTATTTAAAAAGGGGGAAGGCAGAATGTGTTCCAACTACAGGGGGATCACACTCCTGAGCCTCAGTTGTAAGGTCTATTTGGGGGTTCTGGAGAGGAGGGTCCGTTGGATTGTCGAACCTTGGATTCAGGAGGAGCAGTGTGGTTTTCATCCTGGCCGTGGAACACTGGACCAGCTCTATACCCTTAGGGGAATCTTGGAGGGTGCGTGGGAGTTTGCCCAACCAGTCTACATGTGTTTTGTGGATTTGGAGAAGGCATTCGACCGCGTCCCTGAGGTGCCCTGCGGGGGGTACTCTTGGAGTATGGGGTGCCAGGCTCTCAGATACGGGCTGTTAGGTCCCTGTATGACTGGTATCAGATCTTGGTCTGCATTGCCGGCAGTAAGTTGAGCTCGTTCCCAGTGAGAGTTGGACTCCGCCAAGGCTGCCCTTTATCACAGATTCTGTTCAAAACTTTCATGGACAGGATTAGTAGGTGCGGCTAAGATGTTGAGGGGATCTGTCTTGGTGGCCTAAGGCTCAGGTCTCTGCTTTTTGCAAATTATGTGGTCCTGTTGGCTTCATCAGACAGTAATCTTCATCTTTCGCTGAAGCAGTTCGCAGCAGATTGTGAAGCGGCTGGGATGAGATTCAGGTCCTCTAAAGTGAAGACCATGATCTTAAATCGGAAAAAGGTAGAATGCCTTCTCCAGGTCAGGGACGAGGTGCTGCCTCAAGTGGAGGAGTTTAAGTATCTCGGGATCTTGTTCACGAGTGAGAGAAAGATGGAGCGTGAGATCGATAGCGATGCGGGCGTTGTACCAATCTGTCATGGTGAAGAGAGAGCTGAGCCAGAAGTCTTTGTGACACTGCCTGAGGTTAGAAACACTGGTGTGTGTGTGTGTGTGTGTGTGTGTGTGTGTGTGTGTGTGTGTGTGTGTGTGTGTGTGTGTGTGTGTGTGTGTGTGTGTGTGTGTGTGTGTGTGTGTGTGTGTGTGTGTGTGTGTGTGTGTGTGTGTGTGTGTGTGTGTGTATATACAACTTTGTTTTCCTCTCTCCTGCAGGTCTAAAAGTGGAATCTTTGTACTTTTGTGAACTTTCTCTAATTTGTGTCTCTGCGTTTGTTGGAATTTCAAGTTTTTATATCAGGTGATGCTTTATAGTGGCAGCTGTAACACTCCACCTGTAAGAGTAAACCTGTAAGGCTTGTTTTTGGCACTAAGACAACAGTTCTGACTGCTTTACTGCTGAACAGGACACAGACAGAAAAGGAAAAAGGCATCGCTACAACCTGAAAGACGCAGAAACCAAGACAGACCTACAGGCGTGGTTAAATTGAAAAATAAAACATGCAGGAAAGAAGATGACCAATAGTATTCTTACAAACCCCCCTCTTACCCCATTTCTTTGCTGTCTTCTCTACCCCTCTTCCATACTGTCCTCCTCAGCCATCCCCCGCCCTGATACCTTCTCAGCTCCATAGCATCTGGACTTGACCGTTTCTGGTCTCATGATCTTTTCCTTCTGGTTTAGTTGGAAGATCTGAACCCCAGATCAGCTTCAACACCTCTCAGCTTAGGAGTCCAGGTACTGATAATAACGGGGTACTGTCCAATCTGCATGTGTTTGGATGACTGGTCATGCAAAATGTGTGTTTATCCATGTTCTCGTCTCAAATCTGATGATGCAATAATTCAATTTATAAAACTTCCCTGAGCTAAAAACCTGATTATCAGGACGATCCAAAACTCCAAATGTTGGATATCACGTGGGAAAACATTTAAAAAAGAAAACTGTGCCGATGATCAATGTGTGTTGCAGTCAGTGGTCATTTGTGTGTTTGTTAAGAGTGTGTGTGACTCACGCAGGTGTGCAGGCTGCCTGGCAGGCTCATCCTCCATTCGGCTGGCTGGCCTCGCTGCAGGAGCATGGATGGGGGAGGAAGTGGAGTTTGGCAGCGGGTTCGCAAAAGGACTGAAAGAGCTCCTCTCCGGCTATGAATAGACACAGAGACACAAAGCATGGCTCACAAAGCAGCACGATGCACCGACCCTGAACCCAAACAGTCACCGTGCCGACTCTCCTCACCTCATGAGCACCCATTGCAGCGTCTACACCAAGACTTCAATATACAGACTATAATGTACCTAACATGCGTTAACACACGTGCTGCTATGCAGGGTTCCAAGATTCAATCAATGAGACTGAAACCAAAAAGATAGATGAAACATCAATCATTGATCTGTTTTACACATTCCTAAAATTCAAATTTCAATATCAAACAGTTTAAAGTGACAAAGAGTGTGTTAAGAGCTGTTTAGGCCAAGCCTGATCACTGCTGTGTGTTCACAACAGGAAGTGAGTAATGTTATAAATGTGTTTACCTGATGATTACGTTCTGTTAGTGAGACTTTACTGTTATATGGCGATTTAAGCCTAGCTCATACTTCTGCCTCACACTCATCGGTCTTTGTACAATGACGTATCGGGTGCTGTAGCACGTTGAATGACGGGATAGCTAGGTGCATAAACAAAGGAAGCATCAGTTGCTTTGTGTGTTGTGAGTAGGGCTGGGGGTAAACGATTATTTTTAAAACGATTATTCTGACGATTATTTTATTGAATAGTCGACTATTCTAATGACTATTTAGAAAATTTATCTAATGATTATTTTTCTATTGCACAATTAACAAAAACCAGAAAATCTCAAATAAATTCCTCAAAAAAATTGATAAATTCTTACTGTAAGAGAATAAACACTACAGGCCTTCCATTTTGTATAACACTGCTTTTATTGTGTTGGTTGGTTATGTTCTGGTGACGTGTAGAACGTGGGAGTGCAGGCTGCTGCCTGAGAGGTGGTAGAAGATGGAGTGTCTCCATGCTGCTTTGTTTTGGTCACTTATGTGCGTGAGGCGAGTGGTGTTACGGGTTAAACCAAACTCAGGTGATATTTTACACTAAACCGAAAACCCACAACACTCTAAATGTAATAAAAGGGAGATCTACACCACAAAAAAGATGAACTCTAAACCAAAACATAACAGCTTATCCAAACGCAAGAAGCTGTTAGCGAAGATGCTAACAGTAGCTTTACCAACGTTAAGTTCAAGTTACCAAGTTTAAATAAACCAAAAACACCCAGCAGCAAACAGACCAGCACAGAGGAGAGACTGCTACCACCAAAACAGCTCTCCTAATGTCTGAAAGAAGCTCCTTAATGAAGGGAGAAGCGCTCCCGGTGATTTTCTACATCTGCGATAGACACGAAGCAGCGCATCTGACCCCGGAAGTTGTTGTTCGTTGCCGGGAGACGAAGGGGCAAAACAGGAAAATAATCTAGTAGTGGACGGACATTGTTCCGGGTCTTCGGTATTTGGCAGAGATGTTAGTGAAGGCGGAGAAGAGGGCGAACTAGAGGGAAAACAGGCCGATTCCTCCTCTATTTACAAACTCCTGTGGATGCAACAAGTGGGCGTGGTGCGTCGACTTCCGGATCTGACGTCGACAAATTTTTAGAATCGAGCCGTCGACTTCGTCGAGGCTTCGCTACAGCCCTAGTTGTGAGCTTATTAATCTGCACAAAACAGTAAACTCCTGTTGTGTGAAGGGAAGCTATGCCAGGTCACATTGTTATAAGAAGCAAAAACTTGATAACGACATAAGACATAGCATCTGTGCCTAAAAAAATTTTGATTTATGGTTTTACTTTCCTTAGTTGAGCAGGTGTGGCTTTTTGACGCGCATCTCCATTTGGAACATGTTTAAATGGTTCAGAAAACAGACATTTGTCATTAAACTTTGCGCTGAATGAAACTTTACAATAAACAATGTTGAAAAGGTAAGAAAATGATCTGATTTTTTTATTTTTTCTTCATTTACAGTAACCTAGTTAACAGCGCAGTGAGCCTCTGTGCTGATGGTAATAGCACTAGTTTCCCTAGCTTTGCATCGGTCTTCACAAGAAGGCAAAAAAGTTAAATGTAGGCAGGGGTCGCGTTAACCGGATTTTTCCCATTTGTTTATTTTTTGACGGAAAATGTTAAGGCTGTTGGTCATTCTGACAGACTGGAATTACCCCGACGCATGAAGGTGTGCAGACATTTTAAACGTTACGCAAAGAGATTCCCATCTAGACCTACTAGAGACATGACTGTTATAATGGCAGGATGACCCAGAAAAGCACTACGCCCTCTGCTGTCATGGAGGAGAATTGGTTCACACTGACACATTAACAAAGCAGTATGAATGAAAAACGTCCGTCAGTCGGTTTTTGTCAGACACGTGTCTGAAGGCATGTCACGTGTTTGACAAAAACCAACTATAGTTATGTTATATAGTTATAACTATAGTTAGTGTTGTTTCTGCTTTGTTTTGATGAAAAATAACTTATTTCTTCATTTAACAGCTGGAAATACCGGTATTTTAGCAATTTTGATCAAAAGTGGACCAAATATTGTACAAATGCAATGTATTTATTGTTATTTAAGGGACAAATAGACTTCTATTTTTAATGTCGGGTCATTTATTTTAGCCGTAAAGAAATGTCACATTGAAGTACACTTCTGTTACAAATGCCGTTCTCGTCCTCTCATACTCGGTAGAACAAACTCTCTGGCGTCCTTGTCCAGAATGTACTTGTAAAGTACACAAGAACATACTAGCTTCTAGTGCCCGACCATTATGCTTTTTTGGGACCGATACCAATAAAAAACTTTTAACAAAGGCCGATATAATGGCCGATAAATCTCCCTCACAAAAAAGAAATAAAATTTTCTTAAGCTTAAACCCTTCATTCTCTGCCTTTTTGATACAAACTTATTTGTCTATTACACACCAAAGAACTGTCTCAATAACTCACTAGGGTTTCCAAGTAATGCAAATAATATTCATTTAGCAGACCTCAAAAACAACAGAACACACAAACTCAGACGCAGCATAAATCTAACATTCCAGTTTTTTCTTGTAAACTGTGGTTTCCACAAATACATTTTAACTTAAAGGAATATTCCACCACTCAGTAAAGTTGTGTCTTGTTAAGATTCCCCAGAGTTAGACAAGTCAGAAAAAACATTTTATAACCAGCCCAATATGATCTGGCAGCAGTTGGTTTTCTTAGTTTGGCATAAAACAATGTAAGTAAATTCACATACACTGTAGTGTTTTTTTATGTAGGTGAATACAAGTCTTCCCTTCCATTACTTTATGCTAAAACAACTGGTTACAACATGTTTTTTCTGACTTAGCTAACTGGGGGATCTAAGAACACACACAACTTTAGGGACAGAAGATCCCTATAAGAATATTAAAATAATAAAAATGCAGCAATAAATAAAACGTAATACCTGGGCTTTGTAACAAAGTAACACTCTGTGGAAGTTAACTTGGTGAACCTATTCACCCTGGACAAGAAATAATTGCACATAAGAAACATAAATATGAATAAATTTAAAAAAGTTCCAAAACAATAATTTGTGTTCAAAGTTCTAAGGAGTGGAGCCACACAACATGAGTTAATAAAGCTGACGCCATCTAGGTATGCACCGATCAGGTTTTTTGTTGCCGATCACCGATACCGATATCAAAGAATGCTGATCACCGATACCGATCACCGACACCGTTCACGTGGATTGGCCAGAAATTTTCTACAACATTATAATGGGTGCTACAAACTACATAATCTGGGAATAAAGGAAATGTAATCTAATCTAAAATGGTCTGGATTAAGGTTGTCACAGTGTGAAAATTTAACCTCACGGTTATTGTGACCAAAATTACCACGGTTTTTGGTATTATCGCGGTATTTTTTTTTAAACGTGCTACATTTTCACACAATTAAATAAACCCTGTATGTCAGGAAATATTGTCCTCAGTTTATGTCTAAATTTTGCCTAAAATGTGTTATTTTGTAATGATGTTGTTTATTTGTTTACATTTTTTCCCTTTAGTCTTTAAAATACCAATATTTGCCCATAACTTCTTATTTTATGTCTGTTTGATGTCATCATTTTAAAAATATTAGTTCAGATGATACTCAGTACTCAAGTAGCCTTCTAATCAGATACTTTTTTACCCTTACTTGAGTAATAAACCCTATATCAGGAAAATATCATCCTCGGTTTGTGTCCTTCCAGTGAGCTTTGCAGATTTGGGGAAATGTCATCAGGCAGTAATTATTGTTAAATTCATAATTATTCTCGGAGAGAGGCCAACTCTTATCTGCCCCTGGGAGCCCCGTAATGCATAGCGTCATTTCAACATGGGGGTGTCCGCGACACGATTTATATGCAGGTAGCGGCGCTGCGGCTGCTTTATATAGCCACTCGTTGCATTCTCCCTCAACCCAAATCCTCGGATCACGCATTTTAGCTAAAACGCTAACGTTAGCTTGCCTTGCGTTGACTGTAGAGTTGTGGGTGATGGTCATGCAGATGATGTGTCATGAGATTTGAAGCGTTGCTGCCTTTCACAGACACTTTTTCTGCACGTGCTGCAAACAGGATAGCCGTCCGTCTTCTATAAACTCCCTCGGCATTCTTCAAATATCTAAAATATGCCAATTCTTCCCACTTTGTCTTCTTTGAGGGATAAAAAATGTCCTCCTGAGCGCTGCCGTCTCCTCCTTTGGCCATTATTTCAGCTTTAGCTTCAAGAAAGTTTTGGTTGTAAACAGCAAAGCGTGCATGTGCCGCCGGTCCTGCAACTTCAGCAGATGATACGGTGGCTGGTAAGGGTCACCGCGCCTACACCGCAGCCACGGTAAACCCACCAAGATAATATAGTTCTTTAAAAAAACAAGACGGTTATTATTATTGTCAACTTTTTTATTTTTTTACCGGGGTTTACCGCTACACTCGTTACCGTGACAACCCTACCTGATCGGTCTGCTCTGATCTATTTTGAAAACTCCGATCAAAAGCGATAGGGGCGCTATCGGGCGATTACGATCAAATGCCGATCCATCGGTGCATCCCTAACGCCATCTGCTAGATAGGTTAGTGCAATATCGGCCATCTTTTTGGCTGATAGCCGATAGTGTTAATGACCCCAATATCGGCCGATATATCGGTCAGACTCTGCTAGCTTCCTTGAATATTGAGAAATGGCCCAGCTCCCTTATGCAAGCTCCAGTGCAAACTTTGAGCCCCGCCCCCTCCATGCAAACACACTGGGCATTTTCCAAATGAAATTTTTAAAAAAGCAA